GGGAAAAACAGGGCCCAGAAGAGATTTCTCTAGTCTAAGCAAGAAGATTTCAATTCAAGAAGAAAAAAGAAAATCCAGAAAAAGCCGTGCTTTACTTATTTTTGGCTACAGGATGTATGCGCTTGCCAGAGAAAGCCAGAGAGAGAGAGAGAAAGTGAGAAACCATCCCCTAGGGAGGATGGCCACAACGCAATCCCTTCTCCTCCACTGTCTTCTTGGGATTCTGGGCATGCACATAGACACGCCCAGTCATCCAAGACTCAAACTGTGCAGCAGTTGGCCCTGTGGGATCCAGCACCTTAATCTCCACATCGCCTGCCTCCCCCCTTTTATTTTTTACTTTTAAATTCCGTTTTTCTAAAGGTGTGGTTCTACCGTCGTTTTTTATTTTTTACCCTCCCAAATCCTTTTTAGTGGGCTTGACTGGCCACCAGAGATGAGTATTTTCAGTTTTGTGTCATGTGGCTAGTGAATTTCCCCCCTCTAAATCTAAACATAGCTGTTTGTAAGGCAGGAGGTGTGGCAGCCAGTTGGCTTCAGGGAAATCTAAGAAAGCTGACAGTGACAGCGGTACAGACTGTACACTCACCTACCCACATACGCACAGCTGTCACACAGACAGAGCACACACTTGGGGCTGCATGGGGGCAGCGAGGCCTGGCAGAGTGGGGTTTGAACCCAGACAAGGCACGGCAAAGGGGAACTGCTCCAGGGACGAGGCAAAAAAATAGTCCTGAAGGTTGAGAGAGCCTCTTTTCCTAGAAAGTGGCAGAACCAAGGCTGATGGCAGATGAGAGGCAGGAAGGCAAATGGTACTTGAGGTATGGTCTTAGGCTGGCCTGGTCACGTGAAGGCTCCACGTGGTGACTTTCTAATCGAAAACAAGAAAGGGGACACAGAGATGACTCAGCAGGGGTGACTCAATAATCTGCTGGGAATTTCAGGCTCACAAATACCAATAGCTGACTCTGGCTTCATCTGCTGAAAATCTGTCTTCTCAGAAAACAAAGGACAAATGCCACTTGAGATGGGTAATGCAGAAGAGACGGCAATTTGGGGAGGAAATACGTGTTCTCAGGATTTTGAGAACAAAATATGTGTTCCCATTATCTTGAAAGAAAGGACAGGCACAGGCCTACATGAACCTTGGACTTTAGGATTTCAAACACACAAAGGGAAAGCAAAACAAAAACAAAAACAAGACGCAAAAGGTTCTAAGACGACATACCTTTTAGGAGTAACAAGATCTTAAAAAATTTAATCACGAGTGATCCCAATGAGACAAAATAAAAAAGAGAGCTTCTCCTTCTTTCCCCTTCTCTCTCTCTCTCTCTCTCTCTCTATATATATATATATTTTTTTTTTCTGCCAGAGGGCCTGTGCACTTACCAGAGAGGCACAAAGAGACAGAGAGAAAGATGGAGAAAGCACTGCCAGTGGGGTGTGGTCATGCTGAAATCCCTTCTCCTTTTTCTGTCCCATTGGGATTCTGAGCATACACTCACATGTGCCTGGCATGATTTTCAAGCCACCAGTGCCAGGATTTGAACCACTATGTAGGATATAGCTCCCTTAACCACTAGAGGGCTGACCCTGTAATGCTTATTTTTAAATTTTTGATAGGTCTGGTCATGCGGCATGTGCGGTTGCTGGAGAGACGGGGAGAAAGAGAGAGCGAGAAAGAGAGAGAGGGAAAGTGAGAAATCACTCCCCATGGAGGATGGCCACATCTCAATCCCTCTCCACTCTCCTGTTGGGATTTTGGGCACACAGCTCATGTCTCCAGTGAATTTTCAAACTGCAGGGTCCAGGGTTTGAACTGTGGTAGGCCATGCGGGAATACAGCACCTTAATCAGCATGCCACCTCTTGGCCCCCAACTGCTGTTTTAAAACGACATGCACAGTAGATGGAAGAGGATGCCAACTAAAGGTGGATCAACAGCATGTTCGGGAGTTCAAAACCACAATAAGCTGAGCCTATCAAATTAAGAGAGTCCGAGACAATGCAAAGAGAAGGCTTTTCCCATGACTTGAAATAAGGAGAAATGCCTAAAACTTGGAAAAACAAGTGTAATGTTAGTAAGGAGTGAACACGGAAACAGGTACCCCCACTCACGTCAGTGAGGAAAATGGGGAGCACGCCAAAGCAAGCAGAACAAACACGGGGGAGAGACCACAGAAGTTCAGCACAGCTGAGAAGCTAAGGATTGAGTATCTGGCCCTCTCAAACGTGTTCCAGTGTCCAGGCCCCAGAACTGTACTTCACGGTGCTAAAGACATTCACCCTTTTGAGAAATTTACTACAAGCAAATAATGTATGAACTTTTTTTTTTAAAGTCTAGAGTCTAGAGTCTGCAGTGCTACTTGTTTTATTTCTGCCTGACTAGCTAGAATTACACACAACCCCTACCTTGCCTGGCCTTTAGTTGGACTAGAGATTGAACCTGGACCTCGTACATGGTTCTGCTAGTGCCACTGTGGCTGGGCCAATGACTGAACTTCATGAGGGTTCCAAACATTAGATTCTAGGGACCAACAGATGGCATACCGATTACATTGCTGAACTCCCACCTGGCTGACTGCAGTTCAAGTCCTGGACCCGATAGCTTAAAACTTACGCCAAGTGCATGTGTGTACATGCCAAAGATTCCGAGAGAAGAATGGAGGGGAAAGGACTGTAGTGTGGCCATCCCCCTTGGAGTAATCTTTTACTTTCTATGTCTCTGTCTCTTTCTCTCTGCAAAGCACACACACACACACAGCTCCCATACAAATTTTTCTCAAAATAATTAAAAAAAGGAAACACTGGATTCTATAAATTGCAGACTAGAGAGCCATATTCTAATTTATTACAGACATTTAAAGAAATAGTATAGACCTTGTACTCATATGAAGTAAACTTTGGAGTCAACATGGGCTTTCTAACACAGAATATTACCCTAAACATTTCTTGTCCTAATGTGATTGGTAAGCTAATAATCAGAAGAATGCTACAGATGAGAGGACGAGAGGTCCGTACCTTCCTGACATTTGATTTACTACTGCCTGTTGACGGTGTTTCTCACCAGACAAGAAAAGGCCACATGAAAGAGGAACCAGGGCATCAGTATGGTGGCGCTATGACTTCTTTTCTCTTTTGCCATTCATTTTTTCCCTCTACCATTGTTGTTATGCTTATTGCAAAACAGATGTAACTCAAGGGAAAAAAATGAATTGTACAGACTCAGACTGCTCATAGTAAATACAGGAGTTCAGAAGACTACACAATGTTTAGACTTGTCAGTCACCAAAATTTGGATCCTGATTTTGGGGGAGGAGAGTAGGAAGACACACCTCATTTTTTAAAAAGAAATGGGGTTGATGACTGACTTCCCACATGTGTGAATAAGAAGATACTACAAAGCATTAAAAAAAATGTTGTGGGGCCAGCAGGTGGCATAGTGGTTAGGATGCTGGACTCCCACAAGGTTGATCATGGTTCAAACCCCAGACTTGGAAGCTTGAAACTCATACTGGGTGCATGTATGCGAGTGCCCAAAATCCTCAGAGGAGAATGGAGAAGGTATTGTGGCATAACCATTCCTCTGGGGGGAGGGGTGTGTAATTTTTCACTGGCTCTCTCCATCTCTGAATTTCCAGAGTATGCACGTGCCCTATAGCCAAAAAAGTCTCAAAAAAACCCAAAAACAAAGACACAGAAAACCATGCCAGGTGTGTGTAAGTGTGGATGCCCGAAATCAGAAAAGGAGAGAGAGCTGGAGGGGCCTGGCCGTATACCTATGGGGGGTGCTTTCTCACGCTCACTCAGACCCCCATCTCTCTTCTGTAATAATGTGTCTGTCCTTTGGCAAAAATGAAAGAAAAAAAGAGAAAAAGAATGAGCGAGCAAGCTTAGATTTCTGCTTTCAGGAACTAATCAGCAAAATAATCTTCATTAACTGCAAACTGACTCAAAGGACCCTGAGGGCTAGAGGGAACCTAATAATCGGGTGCATTCTTTCATTCAGTACTCAATCCTCCTTAATACCCTCTTTATCACTGAGACAGCTTCGGAAACTACTGTGTGCCAGGTAGTGCTGCCAGCATTCTGTATGTCTTCTCATCTTGATCTTTGGAACTTAGAATACATTTTCTTTTTTTCTTATAAATGAAGAAAGCATGTCTTAGTAAAGTAATACTGATCAAATGTCAAAATAGCTACTACGTGCAGGGCCCCATGTTTCCTGAGATCCCAAAAATCAAGAATAGGATTTGATATAATGGTTAGCAACAAATAAAACACCAAATAATTTTCTTCTCTAGAACCAACTGAGAATTCACAAAAACCTTTTGTGTTACGAAGATAAGAATGTTGCCTAATTCTTTGATAATTTTTAGAATAACTGGTTACCCATACTGATCTGCTTATTCCCTTGAGAAAAATGCTGCAGTTTGGGTGGTAACATATATGTAAGTTTAAATCTCATTCTCCAGAGCTTTCATTAAAGAAAAGACAGTATTTGTTGCAAAAGACAAGGTCTTTAGTAGTCGTGGTTTCTCCTCCCATGATACTTTAAAGCTTAAGGCCTCTGTGTTTCAAAGATATTTGTTCTTTAATAAATTAGAAGATGGGGACTAGCAGGTGGTGTAGCAGTTATGTTGCTGGACTCCCACATGGTTGATCATGGTTCAAGTCCTGTATCTGGTGGCTTGAAAATCAAGCCAACACATGTGCATGTATGCCCAAGATCCTGGGAAGAGAATAGAAGGGAAGGGACTGCGGTATGGACATCCCTCCGAGGAGTGATTTCTCACTCTCCCTCTTACTATCTCTGTCTCTCTCCTCGGCGAGCACATGCACCCTAAGGCAAGAACCTTTTAGAAAATAAATAAGATGATGTAGTTTCTGCATGTGTCTGCACATGCACACATGCACGCACACACCCCAAACAACTCTGGATCTGGGAGACATCACTGTTACTCAGGGCGTTTCTCACTGGCTCTCCCTCTCCTTCCTTACCGAGTACATCACTGGTGGCCATGATGTCGCACGTGTACATGGCTGCCATCAGGCGCTGAGGTTTCACCTGCAGTGCATAGCGACACGCTTCCTTCATGGTGGCGATAAGCTGTCCTGAGAAGGGTCCGTAGCAGTCAGTGAGTGAAGATTCTTTCTGGGAAGTTCTCTTCTCAGAGGTCTCAGAGCAGCCATCTTGTAGCTCCTGGTTTTCATCTCTACTGAAACAGGTTTTATCTTCTCCTTGACCCTCTCGTATTGGATTACTTTGTTCCTGATTCTGTTTATCACCTGCTTCTTGGTCCTCAAGTTTATTAAGGTCCCATTTTTCCAGAACAAAACAGACCCCCATGAGAGGCTCCTCGCACATCGGGCCAGACAGGGTTGCCAGCTGGAAGCCGCTCACAATGCTATTGCCCAAATCTCGGTTTCTACCGGCTTCTTTGGAAGCTTTGCCATCTGGGCCTGTCCACACTGAGCTCTGAAAGTCTTCACTTTTATTAACCAGGATGTTGGGCCCACACTTTCTTGGGCCAAATGACCAGATCTGGTCAACGACGTTCCTCCATTTTCTCCCTGTTAGGTGTTGCTCTAGTTTTCCTTTGAATTCCCAAATTTTCTCTTGGGTTTTCTGGTGGATCATCTGAGTATTTTTGCCTTCATTCAGAGAGGATGTCAACTGCTCCATGGAACGAATCAAATCACTGTTTTCTTCCAGAAGCTGAGTGACTTCTTCTGGAAGGGGCATGGCTCGAACACTGAGCGTGGCAAGTTTATTGGGAGTTGTTATGGTGATGAGCCCATCAGAGTCGACCTGGATTCCTTCAGGGATTTTGCTGTGATCTTCTTTTGTTTGGTGTATGACCGCAACTTTCTGCTGCTTGCCTATCTCCTCATTGACCATGTCAACTTTGGGGGGCTTTGTGATTGTTTCTCTGAATGGAATGATGGGTTCAGATACACTGATAGCAATCTTCGCAAACCTACAGACAAATTCAAGATAAATAACATAAGGTTATAATCAAAGTGACATCAAAACTCCTAGTAGAAACGTGATACAAAGGAGTACAACAGAGACTCTACATAAAAAAAAGAAACATAAAAATTACTATAAGAGATCTGTAATTTACATTATTATCAATTCAAAACTGTTTTTCTTTCAAATTCCAAAGACTTCCTTTAGTGGGAACATACTGCAGGGCGTTCTTTGCATGTACTGGAATTTCAGTGCTTTGTTCATTCTCAAGATAAACAAACCATCTGTTTAGATAAAAATGTGTTAAGTGGAAAATGAATGTTTTAATAGGATTTGATATGAATTCTTGAAAATAATATTTGCCAATCTAAGAGTCTGGAAAAGAAAACAGTGATTCTAACTCCAAGTAGACGCAGAATCGGAGAACTTCAGGGTACTGAGTCCAATCCTTAATGCATCTGGCTTTACACTGAGGCTCCCAGCAAGGCGGGCAGGACCCAGGAGTTGGTCTAGAGCAGTATCTCTCAAGAGAACCTCCTGCAATGAGGCAAGTGTTCTGTATTTACTGTGATTACTGAGTACTTAAAATGTGGCTAGTGCAGCTGAAGAGATGAATTATTAATTTCATTTAAATATAAATAGCCACACATAGCTACTAAGCCTTGGTACTGTGGCTAGTGTGACTGAGGAACTGAATTTTCCACTTCATTTGATTTGAACTAATTTGATTTTAAACAGCTGCATGTGGGTAGTAGCTACCCTCTTAGACAGCAACGGTCTTTAGTCCCAGTCTGGTATCAAGTTCAAAACGCCCCCCTTTGTACATGATATTAAGCTTTAGCTTCATGCCAGCCTTTACTCCAAGTGAGTTACAAGTTTATAGAGGGTAGGTTCTGGAAACTGGCACAGACTGATTCTGGTAACAATGAATCCAGGCAATTGTTCTTTTTCTATTTTCTAACTTCATTCTCAGCTAACAGTAATACTTTGTGTGTGTGTATATACATATATATGATATATATGTGTGTATATGTATACACACACACACACACACACACACACACACACACATATCATATAAAATTTAGGAATCTTAGAACAATGCTTTCCCCTGAGAAATATTATTCAATAAGGACCGTGAATACTAAAAGTTTTTGAAATGCTTACATTTGATTCTAGATTTCTTTCTGTTACCTATGTTTTATGGATATGAAGCCGGTCGATCTGACTTATTTGAGTTTATACTTTCGATAAATCTGAAAGCTTAATACATGCATGGTTTTCTGAAAAAAAGTTATGAAAACTGATTTTAGAATACAGAACCTGAAAATGATCATGATGTGTAGAAGAAAATTAAAAAAAAACAAATGTTATTTTTAAAAAAGGTTCTGGTTTGGCTGGTGAACTTTTCACTTCAAAGATCAGCTTATTTCAATATTACGTGTACTGCTGCAGGATATACAACAAGACAGATGTCGATCTGCCACGGTGTTACTTTAAAATTACTGTGATATTCGAATCGGACTGAAGATAAGATGTACAGACAAAACCTCAGCTCAGTCCTACCTAGGAATTCCAAGCGGCCCCACGGTGATGGCACACTGCTCTGTAACAAGCTGGAGCCACGGGGAAGGCTGGATTTCGGCTCCTGGGTGGCCTGTACACTTCGGTGTGCACGTGCCCAGGGTCCTGGCTGACCAGGGGCCCCAGGGGAAGGATCATGGCATGAGACTCTGTGGACTCAGCTTCCTCAGAGTTCTCAAACAGCACTTAATTTGTCATGTTCATAAAACACCGCCTGCTTGGGCCCATCCACTCTCTCCTCCTATACTTAATCTAGCTGACTACCTAGAGATGGAAATTCCTCTCCACATGGTCTGCGAGCTCTCCTTCTGAGTTCTGACAAAGATCACTCACCTTGAGATTATTCCCCCATGATAGGCTGCAAAGAAAACAATTTTGTTTCCTTTAAGGGGACATTAACAGCACTTCTAGAAATTGGGATAGTTACAAGAAGTAATTAACGAACACTTGAGAATTTGTAAGGTATCTTATTGTTATTTTTTTATAGGGCGCATGCTCTCGTCAGAAAGACAGAAGGAGACAGAGAGTGAGAAATCACCCCCGAGGGAGGATGGCTGCTCCGCAAATCCTTCTCCTCCATTCTCCTCAGGATCTTGGGCATGCACGCACACGCGCCTGGCATGAGTTTAAGCCACTGGGTCTGGGCCTTGAACTGCGGTCAACTACATGGGAGTCCAGTGACACAGCCATTACGCCAACTGCTGGTCCCTGTAAGGTATCTTATTATAGCAACAGATACTTTTCCATTACCAGATGTGCTCTTTCTTTGATTATTTTTATCCAACATAAATCTAAATAATTTTTAGGTATTTGGATATTAACAGTCATAAAGTATTTTTTTGAGAGTTTATTTATTTATTTTTTTTTTTTTTGCTATAGGGCGTATATACTCACCAGAAAGGCAGAGAGAGACAAAGAGACAGAAAGCGAGAAATCACCCCCCAGGGGGATGACCATGCCACAATCCCTTTTCTTCCATTCTCCTCTCGGGATCTTGGGAATGCGCGCACACACGCCCGGTGTGAGTTTTAAGTCACTGGGTCTGGAACTTGAACCACGGTCAACTACATGGGAGTCCAGCGACATAGCCATTATGCTAACTGCTGGTCACATGTATTACTATTTTTTTTGAGAGAGAGATTTTTGCTATAGGGTGTGTGGGCTTGCCAGAGAGACACAGAGAGACAGAGAGACAAAAAGTGAGAAATCACCCCGCCCCCAGGGGGGATGGCCATGCTGCAATCCCTTCTCCATTCTCCTCTTGGGATTTTAGGCACACATGCACATGCCTGGAGTGAATTTTAAGCTGCCGGATTGACCATGTGGGAGCCCAGCAGCATAACCATTACATCATCTGCTGGTCTCTAAAGTATAATTTTAAAAGTGAGTTAAGGGCCTGAGTAATGTAAAGTTATTTAATGTGGACTTTAATTTGGTAGCAAGGAGAATGAAAAGGGGGAAATACTGGGCAATCAAAAAAGTCGCGAAGCATTTCTACACAGCAAAATAGAAAATACGTCATGACTTTCCTGATGACCCAATTATTTAAAGACACAAGTTAATTTAAATACACACACACACAAAACACTTCCAAAGTTTAAAAAAAAGTTTTTAAAGAAATCTTCTAAGAAGTAAGTTATTATTTTGAAATACACTATGCCTTATAATTTACCCAGTTAGCGTTACTTCTCTAATCAACAATAGAACCTGCAAAAGTTCCAAGTAAAGGATGACAAACGTGGAAGAGATGTAAGGTCTACCTTCCAGAGCTCAGCAGGTAGCACAGTACATAAGACGTTGGACTCGCATATGGCCAATCATGGATGGAGTCCCGAACTCAGCGGCTTGAAAACCACGCTGGGGACGTGTGCGTGCATGCCCAAATCTCAGGAGAATGGACTGCAGCATGGCCGTCGCCCCTGGGGAGGGGTTTCTCACTGTCCCTTTCTCTCACTCTGGCAAGCTCATGCACTCTGTGGCCAAAACCTAAAAAAACGATGACAACAACAACAAAAACACCAACAACAAAAACTAGCTTCCAAATCTGTATTAATTACAGTTATAAAAACACCATTTTTTAAAAAAATTATGGTTATAAAAGCCACACCACCATTTTATGCTCCACGACAGACACAGGACCTTTTCCAGCCTGCAGGAGTCCCTCCAGAACCTCGCAGGGAGGGTGCCACACCAGCCTTCTCATTCTACTGTTACTGCTAGTTGCTGTGGTCATGCTACTACTTCTAACCGATCTGACTGCGCTGTTAAGGATTAAATGAGATAAATAACTGCCCGAAGCAGTGACTGTCATGTAACACTTAGTATGTAACTATTTAGATCATTTACACTCATTACGTTAGTTATGATTATTTTTACAGTCCAAGACAATTTAGAAACATAAGGAAGGGGGACGATTATAGGACAATTCACAATTTTCTCCCTAGAAAACACAGAAATGCATATTAAAAATGAACACCTTTTGTCCTTCAGATTGGTGAGATTTTAAACAAATGATAATATGCAAGGTTAGTAAAAGTTTAAAAAAAAGAGGCCACTTTCAAATATGTATTGTTATGGTGGAAATCGGAACGGCCTTGAAAATATGTGTATTTTTTGGTCTGCAACAGTAGTTCCAGCAGTTCATCTCAACCCACTAATCAGAGCTGTGAATGTACATATCTGTGTGTGTTTGAATATGCACAAACCAGAACATGGATTCATGAACCCAGGTGCAACCCAGTGCTTATTTCTGCATGGTAATCAAATGATGTATTTATTCTCCTCTATTGTTCAAATTGCTACGATACACACATAGAATCTTGGGAACAAAGAAGAAAACTGTTTTTCGATTTGGGATGCTTATTTTATGAGGCTGAAATACCACCTTCACAGAGGACTCTAAAGACTCCCAGGAGAGTCTCATCATCGAGAGCACATCAGTAAGAAAATGAGTCTGTCCCAATTACAGTCTATGCTTACAAAATAAAATATTCTTTTGTGGTCCTGATACGCTGTATGTATGGGCGTATTTGTGTGTGTGTTCATGCTCAAAGTAAAATACACACTATATGAAAATATTTAATAACTTAAACTAAAAATACATAACTGGAAACTATTTTATGACTCAATGCTAAAAATGCTGGCTGTGAATACCATTTTTCAGTTACCGAAAATTACATTTGTAATCTGGCAATGGCTTGCCTGAATTGAAGGTATTTCATTTTCCTCTGAAAATAAGCCATAGACCGAGTTCCGCTACTTCGGGAAACACTGAAACATCCACTGATTTTTGAGGCTATCGTTTCTCCAGCTTTATCAACTGACCTTTCTTTTAAGTCATCCAGGCATCGCTGAAGGTGGACTTCCCCTGCTGTGACTAGAACGTGCTCGCCCGTTTCCTGAATTAAAATCTGGACACAGGGATCGGCTTGGTTTAACAGCTTCATTCCTTTCACAAGCTGAGGCATTTCACCTAGGTTAAGAAAATGAAATACTGATTAAACACAATGTAAGGACTAAGACAATCTAAAGACAGTGGCCATGGCCATCGAAGGGAAAATGACAATGACATAAACTCTGAACTAATGGTTTATTTTTTTTTTCCCCCAAACAGTGCAGCCTGTGAAAAAAAAACTACCTTGTAATAATTTATGTGTACAAATAGCTTTCACGAGACCCTCTCAAGTGGATGCCACAATTCAAGGCAGTCAATGGTGCGTTTCCTTCATCTGGATGGTGTCATTTTTCCGGTGGTAACAGTCATTAAGATCCAGTGCCGTAATAAACGGGCCCTGGAGGCAGACCTTTGAAGGGTTATGTCACCAAGTGTGGGCAAGATTTTTAAAAATAAGCTGTACTGTGGTGGCCAACCTCCAAGATGGCGCCACTCATATTTGCCTCCTGACACACACACCCCCCTGTGAGGTCCCACGACAGGACCCGATGAGATAATTAGTGTAAAATCCTTAGTGGTATACAGGAACGATTAGAAATGATGATGATAGCAATAATGGCTTTGGGACATTTGCAGTTTTCTGTGTTGAGTTTTCAGTAGAGCCTTTGGGCCTGGGGCAGAAGGGAGTAACACGACATTTTGACCCTGCTTGGGAAATTAGAGAAAAGAAGTAGAAGCACAAATGCCCAGGATCTGCCTCTCCCTGAAAGAGGAGTAAAAGGTTGTTTCCAGGATTTGTCAGCCCAGTGTGTCATGACAAAAAGAGAAAAGGGCTTAGGACACAGATTCTTCTCGAGAGTAACAACGATCTGTCCAGTGCTTTGGGGGGCACCATTACTGGGAAGTCCTGGCATAAGGAGATGGAACATCCCGACGTGGATGGGTCAGAGGCGCAGCACATAAACAAAGGCCGGGTGCCTCAAAGTAGGGCCAGCCTAAGACGTGAGGGAGAAGAGTAAACCGGCACCAAACGACCTCTGAGGACTCGCGGGGACGAGAACAGCATTAACGTGAGTTTTCCCAGTCAGAATGGAAAATGAGTTGTTAAAAACACCAAGAAGACAGAACAATGAGTATAAAACGCAGACACGGAAATACGTGAATAAGGTACTTCAGTAACATAAGCAAGAAATGCATGGTAAACCTAGTACAAATACTTGATAAGAAAAAAAACAGCAACATTTTAAAAATTAGGAAGAAAACTGTGTGTCCCTTCTAACCGCTTTAATAGTGTTTTACAAAGTTCAGAAGAGTTTTATGAAACACATATGAGGAAATGCACTTTGGCTTTCATATATAATCCTAAATAATTCTACTTAGACTACCTCATTAATGCAAATGAAAGGAAATTAATCTCACTGCGAGTCTGCTATGGGACAGACAATAAGCTATGTACCAGGATCCCTCCTCTCGTGTGGCCACGCTGCACTGAAGCTGCTTCTGCCGCCCCTGTCGGGTGGGCATGGACAAGAGAATGCACACGACCATCAAACACAGGGAGGCAGATGTGTCTCTGTCATCAAGCAGAATACAGCCTTCCTGGACAGAACAGGTACCTAAGCATGGCACGTTCCTTAGACAGAAGTCAGATGCCTTTTAAAAATTTTTTTTTTTTGTAGAGGTTTTTGCATTAGGGTACATGTGTTCACTGGAGAGAAAGAGACAGAAACAGTGAGAGGGAAAGTGAGAAATCACCCCCCAGGGCGGATGGCCACACCGCGATTCCTTCTTCTCCATTCTTCTCCCAGAATCTTGGCCATGCACGCACATGTGCCCGGTGTGAGTTTCAAGCCATTGGGTTTGGGACTCGAAGCGCAGTTGGCCACGTGGGAGTCCAGTGACCCAACTGCTATGCTATCCGCTGGCCCTGTCAGGTACCCTTTAAGAGTTCTATTATACACTGGAAGGGAAATTCACAGTATACTGCTGACGCAAATGGTGAGGAATACGGGTGGGCATGGACAAGAGAATGCACACGACCATCCAACACAGGGAGGCAGATGTGTCTCTGTCATCAAGCAGAATACAGCCTTCCTGGACAGAACAGGTACCTAAGCATGGCACGTTCCTTAGACAGAAGTCAGATGCCTTTTAAAAATTTTTTTTTTTTGTAGAGGTTTTTGCATTAGGGTACATGTGTTCACTGGAGAGAAAGAGACAGAAACAGTGAGAGGGAAAGTGAGAAATCACCCCCCAGGGCGGATGGCCACACCGCGATTCCTTCTTCTCCATTCTTCTCCCAGAATCTTGGCCATGCACGCACATGTGCCCGGTGTGAGTTTCAAGCCATTGGGTTTGGGACTCGAAGCGCAGTTGGCCACGTGGGAGTCCAGTGACCCAACTGCTATGCTATCCGCTGGCCCTGTCAGGTACCCTTTAAGAGTTCTATTATACACTGGAAGGGAAATTCACAGTATACTGCTGACGCAAATGGTGAGGAATACAGTATTAAATACATGCGATTGCATTTGAAAAGTGTTAACGATGGCGTGGCCCTGTAGCCCTGTGCAAAGGGAACCGGATCCCACATGGCCGACCACAGTTCAAGTCTCAGCCCAGGTGGCTTGAAAAAATACAGTGGACACGTGTGCGTGTGTGTCCAAAATGCTGATGGACTGGGAGGAGAGGTTTAACAGGATTGCAGCAGGACCATACGCCAGTATAGGGTACTTTCGCCCTCTGCTGAGCACATGTGCCCTCTGGCAATGAGTGTTTTAAAGAAGTGTAATGGATAGCGTGTGTTTTCCAAAACAAGGCCATCTTACTTGGGTGCTTTGGTTCAATGGCGACTCTCACAATAGGGGTGGCTTCGAAGCTGAGAGGGATAAACGGTGGGCAGGACGGCAGGCTACACAGTGTTGCGGATTTCAGCACGAAGTCCTGAAGGCCTCCTATGCCTGCAGGAGGAGAAGATCCACAGGGTCAATGGAGAATGATCAATTCTGAATTTATATTAGAAAAATAACATCAACCCAGTATCCACATCACAGAACCAAATACGTATAAAATATTGCCAGGAATGAGGCAGACCTGCCATTGTGGTTTTTGCACCCCTGGATACTGTCTGATTGCTGTCAAAAATACAGAAATTCTGCTAGTTTTTCTTTTCTAGCTGCATGAATCCTGTTACAGCGGACTAGGCTAACACGTATCGACTTCGGCCACCATCACTCCCAGATACGTTTGTCTGAAACATTGGTTATTTCTAATTATAACTCCTAGTTTTTCAAGAAAATATATTAATTTTCTAAAGATGAATCTAGACTGAAGTGATATCTTTTGCTAAATCCACTATTGCATAAGGGTTAAAGGAACTTGGAGACAAAATGAGACATTGTTATGGAGTCCCTGACCCTAAGCTAAGCTGTCTTCCACACTACCCCAATTCTGGGAAAGAATCCCAGTCACCTCCCCTGGGCCCCCACTTCAGTCTCCTTGGCTGATGGATGCATGAGACACTGAAAGGTGCGTATCTGTGTTTGAACGGATAGGAGTGAAGAGAATGTCCTACAAAGAGGGGCAAAGAGCATACTGAATCTCTCACCCACAGTATGGGCAGACAACGCCGTAGAACAAATAAAGAAATACGTAAAAGGACCCTTTTTGGGGTTGAGGTAAGGACTGAGGGTAGGATGAAAGGAGAGGTTACGTGCTTCAGGGAAGCTGACGAGACGAACGGGCAGCATCTACTTTTGCATCATAGAGGGAAAAAACAGCGGAGGCCGCTTCGCTGCCTCCAGCGGACATCAGGGCCATGGAATGCCACTCGGTCACACGTCCACCTGGTGGAGGGGCCATGATGCAGCGGCTTTAGGTGCACAAACCTGGAGGGGGATTCGGATGTTTCTCCTTGCCTGACTACACAGTGTGGAAACCCCCTTGAACACTCACCTGAATGCACCCTGATTTCGCCACCTTACCCCCGTAATGGCCCAACTATAATAAAACCTTCCTTACATCGTGCCAAAGACCTGCTTCCTCACTCTTCCACACACTGCCCGCTTGCAGGTCCTCCAAAGGTTCACAGAGAATGTGTTTTTTTCCACTGTCACCAACTCCCTCTTGAGTTCCAAAGGCATCCAATGGATCGTTCTAACCACATTCTGGGGACTATCAGATGGCATAATGGTTACATCCCTGGACTCCCACATGGCTGACCGCGGTTCAAGTCCTGGACCCAGGGGCTGGAAACTGAACGCCGGATGCATGTGCTTGTGTGCCCAAAATCCTGAGAGGAGAATGGAGGAGAAGGGACTGTGGCATAGACATCTCCCTGAGGGTGATTTCTAGCTTACTATCTCTCTCTGTCTCTCCAGCAAGTGCACGCCCTATAGTAAAATCTCTTGAAAAGAAAATAAAGTTAAAAATTAAAAACCAAAACAAAGCAAACAAAAACCATTCGTTCCTTTACTTATTCAGTTCAGGATGAGATCCCCAGACCTTCTGTGTATATGGAACCCTCTTCAGACTAAAGTTTCCAGGGCATTAAATCCCCGTGTCTCCAGCGCACTTCTTTGCCAAGGTCGAAATCTTATTACCAGACCTGCTGGTTCAGCACACAGAGAGGTCTAGTCCTGGGTTTAGCTTGTGTACATGTCCTGCTGGCGCTGTGATGCAAGAGTTCTGGGTCTGCCCATGTTTCTGCCAGGCCCGGCGTTTCAGAAAAGCCCACAGTAAATACTCCCTGCCAAACCTCGTCCATCCTGCTCTGACCTCTGACTAGCACACACTTCCTTCCTGCACGCCCAGCATGTGGTTTCAATGACAGGAGAATGCTGGTCCTTCCTCTCTGCGTCACCAGGGACACCGTCTGCAGGTGGCCGGTGTATTCTGAACACTGCTGCTTTGAGCTTCGGGTTTGCGTTTTGCTGTTCTTCGTACCAAATCTATTCTTGCTATTTAGGTATGCCCAGATTGGTTAACAAGCTGATGCCACAGTATTCCAAGTCAAGATTAGGAATTTATGGAAAAAAGTGATGCTCCAAAGACCGAACACGTCACCACCTGTACTGTACATCACCATTTTTACTGACTTCTAAATGTCATTTTAAAACCTAGGAAAGGGGCCGGTCATGTGGTCTGGGAGAATCACAAGAAAATGGTTTAAAAATCAGTCTGAGAATTTCTTCACATGCCATCAGATAATCACTATGTGTACAACCTGATAGTTGACGATCTACGGTTTAGAACAACCCTTTAGTTTTAAAAATATCAGTGAGTATAATTTCTTGGGGGTAAAAAACTGCTTATCTCTAATTACAGCACTCAAATATTGCCACTGCTTTCTTCTTTATAGTTCCTTCTTTTTTCCCTCCCCTATTGGCACATAGTTTACATTGTTATAATGGCCATATAATTTTGTGCCCTTTCTTCCCTCTATGATTTAAGTACGTGATTCCCTACATAAATGTAAATGTAATTTTTACTTGTCACTTAAGTGACTTTTTTTTGTTTTTAGGGGAAAAAAATCCAAAGTTAGCATGACATTGCTTTATTTTTAGTCATGTGCTTTATTTTTAGTCATTATATTTATTTTCAGATTTCAACAATTAAAAAGAATTCGAGGTCTCAAATGTTCATTAAAAAAAGGGATCAGCATGTAGTGTGGTGATTAAGAATGCTGGACTCCCACATGGCTGACTACAGTTCGAGTCCCAGACCTGATACCTTGCGTCTTGCTCTCTCTCCCTCTCTCTCTTGTCCCTCTATGGTAAAATTTTCAAAATAAATAAAGTTAAATAAAATAATTCTAAAAAAAAAAAAAAAAAGGGACCAGCAGATGGCGTAATGGTTACATCGCTGGACTCCCACACATAGTCGATTGTGGTTTGAGTACCGGATCTGGTGGCTTAAAACTCTCACCAAGTGTGCATATGTGCCCAAGATCCTGAGAGGAGAATGGGGGAGAAGGTATTCCAGCGTGGTCATCTACCCTGCAGGGTGATTTCTCACTTTCTGTCTGTCTCTTTGGCGAGCACACGCCCTATAGCAAAAACCTCTCTTAAAAAAAAAAAAAAGATCATTATAAAAAAGGACATATGATTTTTAAAGAAAAGAGAGAGAGACAGAGAGAACAGGTTGAAGACTGTGGAGCTAAAGCAATTGGCTTTGTGTATTAAAAACCAGTTAACATTTGCTGATTATAGAGAAACTATCAGTCTTTTTTTTTTGGAGAAGTTTTTGCCATAGGGCGCGTGCGCTCGCCAGACAGAGAGAGACAGAGAGACTGAAAGTGAGAAATCACCCCCCAGGGGGGATGGCCACGCCGCAATCCCTTCCCCTCCATTCTCCTCTCGGGATCTTGGGCACGCACGTACACGCGCCCGGCGTGAGTTTTAAGCCACCGGGTCCGGGACTCAAACTGCGGTTAGCTACATGGGAGTCCAGCGACATAGCCATTACGCTAACTGCTGATCCCTCAAAGTCCTTTTTGATCTCCATTCTTCTCCATGCCCCAAGCAAAATCAGACAAATTAACACAGGAATGTCACATCCCAGACTGGGGTGACAGATAACACCTAAGTAAATGTTCGTTCTTCAACTGGGTACACAGCCTCTTACTAGACATCATACCAGATTCCTCAAATTCTTCTCAATCAAAAGCCCAGCATTTCTGTCAACAGTGCCAGACCAAAACTTTTGTCCATCCTTAATGTTCCCCTTTAAAAAGTACCCCTGAAATGAACAATATTAAGGAGAGCATCTTTTACAGTGAAACGGAAAGTACTGTATGGGGCTTGAGAAACGGATCAGCCTTCTGTTGGAGTTCTTCTCTTCTCTAACAGCTCCCAGTTGCCCAGGTTATCAATTCAGGATAATGTTGCATAGGCAGGAAGACGGTGAAATCATGACTGAATACAAACCACGTTAGACTCTTAGCATTACTACCTTCAAGAAAGTTCATATTTGTAAAGTGCTCTTTTTCTTTGTTCTTGATGATATTAAAAACCTAACTGAATTAAAAGCTGTACAATTTCTTTTTTCTTTATTTTAAAAAAATTTTTGGAGAGAGATTTTTGCTATAGGGCGTGTGTGTTCATTGAAGAGACAGAGAGAGAGAGAGAGAGAGAGAGAGAGAGAAAGACAGAAAGTGAGAAGTCACCCCTGGGGGGATGGCCACACCACAAACCCTTCTCCTCCATTCTCCTCTAGGGATCTGGGGCACGCACATACATATGTGCTCGGTGTGAGTTTCGAGTAGCCGGTCTGGCACTTAAACTGTGGTCGGCCATGTGGGAGCCCAGCGACATACCATCACACCATCTGCTTATCCCCAAATTTTACAATTTCTAACACTTTTCTAAGCAAGTATGTTAAGACTCTAGTAGAATATGATCTCTCAATCGCCAGAATTTTACTTCTAACAGACTTTAATATTACTACACCCAAGAACCATCAACCTGCTCCCCATAACCTGTTTAGGCCAGATTTAATGGATTCCCTTATCCTTCGCGACAAACGCAAGCTATCCGTCAAGGACATCCACACAGCCTAGGGCAGTGAGGGCACTGAGCGCCACTCCTGAAGGATGTGAGGATTTTTTTTTTTTTTAAAGTACAGGATCCCCAGGTGATGGGAACCTAGAGAACCCCTGGTTTTGAAAGACCACATCAAAGACGTACACTCTGGCTTTAATTTTATCTGAGCCTTTCACTGAAACTCGGATTCTGCTTCTGCTCTCTGACTCGACTATGAAGAGTATCAGGGAACCCACACACTTTACAATTCTTGTCGCAAAGGCAGGTAGGCAGGTCGACACATAAGTACAGAGTGGACTTTTTCCAAGGCTTCTTGGCCAATACTGTCAAAGTGGATTGGCAGTACCTAGCTAAACTTTTCAGAAGGTGGGTCACATGTGCCCCTTGCGCTAACCAGTATTAAATCAAATGCCCTTCAG